TTGCGACTTTCCAAACATAAGATAGATTTCATAAGGTATCATCTGTTAATCTCTGTACGTATATCTAGGATTACAAATTTTAAAGACTCTGCATTTGAACTTGTTTGTTGGATTTTATAGAGCAAAGCCACATTGGGCTATCTACTGTGTCCACCGCGTGGAACCGCATGTAAATACTTTTAATTATCTACATCTAATAATTGAGTCACTTTATTCACAATAAACATACAAATGGTTTAGTACCTTATAGTAAAACGATTTTGAATATGCAAATTAGCAAGTCATGTAACAACTACACCCGATATAAAGTCTGGGTTGAACGGCATGTATCAGAATAACATTTTGACATTCTTTGGCATTACGTAGGTAGTGTGATGATATCGAACATTGGGTATGTGACGACGCCAAATATTCATTCACTCATATCATTAAGATGTGTTCAAATTGGAGATTTCAAATTCTAAAACATGGATATGCCTTGTACTTAATAGCATTAGAAAATTAAGGGATATGGATCAACTTGGGATCCAGGACCATCCAGAAAGAGACCTACAACAAGTCTTAACCCAGCTGTGGTAAGCAAAGTGCGGTGTTTTACAATAGGTAAGAATCCACGAACACAGAGATCAGTGGCAAAAACTGCCCACTTACTCTAAGCAACAATAGGATCTCTATCTGAAAAAAAAAGACACAAGTTTCTTCCATGACATGTCTAAGAAGGGAAGACCAACTGAAGACAATTGTATTAGTAGCATTTAGCGGATGAAAATGGCATTAGTTGGAGACACTCGACGAAGTATATGTGTACCTTGATAATCATGACAAGTCTTTTGACATATTCTGCTGATCAACCTCGTGCCAATTTCTAATGAACAATATGTGAATAAAATTTTAAAAGTGGTGCAACTCGCAGGGCATGTTACCAAAAGTTTTCGAAGGGATTCATGATCATCGCTGGATACTACGCCATGGATAAGTTATGGATCAAAAGAGTAGACACAGAGACCAAGGTGAGCTCTGTTTGCTATCAGACTAATGTTCTTATCCCTTTCTACCACATACAAATACTGGTTTTTTACGGAAACGAGGTTAACGGAGTATGGGCTCACCAAGATGAGTCTTCCAGCCATACCTCCTGTTCAACCATCTCATACTTCAAGCAGCTGGAAAATAAAATGGGTATTTATGCTCTTCTATACAAAGACACACCACTTTAGTCGCTTGACGCGGTGTCTTGAATTTTTGTGTAATCAGGCTGTTAAAATGGCACTGGTAAACCGTAGTCCTCGTACATTAGATGGACAATGGAAACCATCAAGGAAGAAGGGTTCTCATTGGACATGACAGCCTTACGTTAGAAAGAACATGACCGGACGCGACGAAATTACCTGTAACTACGTAGTGAAGCTTCAAAATCGTTTTAATATTACGTACTAAACCCCTTCATTAACAGTTTTATATTCACACAGATCAGTCTGCAGTTCAAGAAAAACTTTGTAGATTTTAAAAGCTTTTCTTTTAATGGAACTGTTAACAGTTAATAAAATCCTACTTTGTTTGTGTTTTAAAGTATTCACATGGCCTTTTCTATTTCTATAATAATAGCAAAGTATTCTATGTGTTTCTTAAAGGAGCGCGAACATTGATTTCAGCACAGCTTCGATAATAATTTATAGATCTCGGCACTAATTGTTACAAAATAATAATACTTGCACAAATTATATAAAAAAAATCCCCAGTAAAATTAGGCTAATAAAATACATTCCATCAGCAATTTGTTTTATGGTTTTTGACACATGGTCAGATTAGAAACCCTTACGTTACTGATATAGTCTCCCAAACTGTGAACTGATAGAATCAAGAGAAGGCTGTAAACTCTTGTCTGACCACACAGTACGATTTTGCCGTCACTCTTATAACACACCCACGGACTTAAGGCACAGAGCGAATTATTTGCGGTAAGAGGACGCAAACCAAGAACCATCAGATTCACAGTTCGAGCATGCTAACTAATAGGCCACACCCGACCCTATAATTAAAGAGTTTTGCTCAAAGTTTCAAAATCACTTTGCAATGAATCTTTGCACTAAGTTAAACGTGCTTACTACCAGAAGAATGAAAGGGTTCAAGACAAAGAAAAACAAGACTGTTATTTTCCACTATACGGATTATTCTTTGTCTCCTTACTTACATAAGTCCTGCGATTATTCAACGGTAAGCTGCAAAGCTTATGAGCCTAAATTCGGGATTTTATATATTGTAGCAGAGAAGAATCCGTTTATATTGATTAATTAAGAATTGTTCAGAGGTAGGCTACTAGGATGATTCCGGGTTTGAAATGGTTGTCATTTGGATTATACAGTAAGATGTCAATTTATTTTACCATGAAAAAAGGAAGGGTAAGAAGTAGTTCTGCTGGAATGTACAAACTATATGGGGGGAGTCTATTCCTCCTTATCCCGAGATGGTAAAGATGGAATCGACTTTCCACAGAGCTGCTACATGCCAGTCTATAGACTAGACAGCTACCTTCTCTTATAAATCTATCTTGAGAATACCCATACATCAACTGAACCTAACCTCAAGCTAATCTACATTGGAAAACTGCAACTTTATCTTGTTCTGGCTTCCTGGGAATTGTACCTGGCAATGCTTCAAACACAGCATTAGCGCAATATTTTATTCCACTTTCAAACTTTTTAATTAACTCTAAAGTTATGTCAGCAAAGTTCTTGTATCTTTTCACTTTTTCAGCAATGTTTAACCGAAAATTATGAGCAAAGAAAAAATATATCCTTTTTTATTTTGCATTTATCATTAATTTCTGATCGTATCAGGCTACCTTCATGTTTGTTTGTTTTGAGGTTAAGCACAAAGCTACACAATGGGTTATCTGTGCTCTGCCCACCACGTGTATCGAAACCCGGTTTCTAGCGTTGTAAATCCGCAGGCATACCGCTGTGCCACTGGGGGGCAGCTACCTAGTTAGACCAGAACTAAAAACGAACCCAATAATATAACGGATTTAACATACCAATTTAACTAAGCATACAATATCATAGAAAATTTTTAATTATTATAATACACGTTATTAGAAATAAGTTTACAGACTTACAACGCAGAAATCAGGGGTTGTATTCCCCTTTGTGAAAAAAGTGCAAGTAGGCTATTGTGTAGCTTTGTTCTAAAATAAACAAGTTAGTAATATTATCTGCCCTAAAACCAATAATACCTCACGAGACAGTTTAAGAGATTTGGGTTAGTCCTTAATCCATATGCTAAGGTACCAATGTAAAATAATTATCATAATAAATAATAAAAATATACATATATATTAAGCATTTAAACTAATATTGTTAATGAAACTACCATAACATAATTTACCTATAAAACACATAAAAACTACATATTTGTTTCATGCACTATCACCGTTTCTCTGTCCTTTGAAAACTTTCACTGAAAATAATATGCTATAAGTATAAATAAAAACTAAATCTTGCTGAACTACTTAGTGAAACTAAAATATGGTGTAGCTATTTTAAACGTAAACTAATGTTATATAAATATGAAATATATATTTAAAATGCAAAGTACTATCATAAAAATATGGCGTAGCAGTATCGAACGTAAACTTAATGTCATAAAAATATGTTGAAGCTATCTCGAACGTAAATATTTCCAGTATGGCCGATGGTTAGGGCGTTTGACTCGCAATATGAGAGTTGCGGGTTCGAATCCCCGTCCCACCAAACATGCTCGCCCTTTCAACCGTGGGAGCGTTATAATGTGACGGTCAATCTCACTATTCGTTGGTAAAAAGAGTAGCCCAAGAGGTGGTGGTGGGTGATGATGGCTAGCTGCCTTCCTTTTCACTGCTAAATTAGGGACAACTAGCGCTGATAGCCTTCGTGTAGCTTTGCGCGAAATTCATTACAAACATACAAACTATTTCCATAAATATATGTTGTAGCTATCTCGAAATTAAAACGATACAACAGCTTTCTAATCGTCAGTTATGAAATTTTGTTTAAATATGCTTCGTGTACTCCACTATCACATATGAATGTGTCACCAATTTTACTAGCGAACAATGTGAAACTGTTTAAATATGCCTCAAGACCGGTGACACATTCATATGTGATAGTGGAGTATATGAAGCATATTTAAACAGTTTCATACTAGCGAACAAAGTGAACGCCTCATATACTTCACTTCAGATATGAGTGTGTCAGCGGTCTTACTAGCGAACAAAGTGAACGCCTCATATACTCCACTCCAGATATGAGTGTGTCACCGGTCTTACTAGCGAACAAAGTGAACGCCTCATATACTCCATCATCACATATAAACGTGTCATCAATCTTACTAGCGGATAATTTAAAATCGCACCGCTTAGAAGTCCTAGTTGAATATCTCTTGGTAAATCAGAATTTTATGTTTTATTTTATAAATATCCATTTCTAAGATCATTTTAAAAATCAATTCAAGTTTAAGGAAATTAAAATCTTAAGAAATAATTTTACAGCAATATTAGATACGTTTTTAAAATAAAAATTACAGATAAGGTCCAACAAACTGCTTTGAGTCTATGGCTCCGTTAGTTATAAGATCCTTAATAACACATGGCCCATACGAAATGTAAACCAAATATGACATCAATATTGCATCTAATCTCACTAATTTTTGTTGGTACCCCCTATGTATTTTATATAAAAATTAAGTGATTTTGTTTTGTCAGTTCTTTTATCTTTATGGATCCTATCGGTAGCGAACGTTACAAAAACATGTCGGTATTTTGAAGATTAAGTATAACAACAATGTTGACGCTTACGTAATATTTTCTCTCAAATATATATAGATATGCTCATTATAATAAAAACAATTGGGAAAATTCACACTTCCTGTTTCTTAATCTCTCCTGTTGAAAACGACAGTCCTTATGTTGTTTCAGCTTTATTTTGAAACAAACTAGAAATGGAAAATAAAAATAAAAGACTTACAGTAAGTGATGGCAATGGACCTCTTTACCAATGTCTCTAGGAAATAGACCATTTCTAATCTCCTTTATGTGTGAGAATCACCTGACCTGACCCCCGGTAAAATCGTTGCGGATACCTCTCGCGCGTGCTCGTAGCGAAACAATTCCTCAGTACTACAATAGTTGATCAGAAATACTCTAAAGAGCGCTGTAAATTTGTTACTGTTCTACAACATATAGATACTTAGCACACGTTATACATATTTTTCTACTATATTTGTATCATACCTGTTATTTTAGGCACGATCGAGACAAAATGAAAAGCAGATGATGCAAACCATCACCTATCTGAGCCACTGAAAGTTAGTTTACTCCACACGCTTGACTAGTACACATGTACAAGCCTTCAAACCAGATGTTAAATCAAGGGGGAAGAAGGGGGGGGTACAATGCACATGCTGCTGGTGACGTTTGTTCTATAAGGTTTTCTATAGTATACGTTCTTACTGAGGTGGGCAGAACAAGAACGCCTCCAACGTTATCTTCTCCGATCAGCCACATTTAAATTTAAAAATGGGACACTTAATTTACATTATTTTGATTGCTTCGTTAAAAAAAACAGGCGTGGATCTTTGGTGTATATATGTATATAGCAAATAAAATCTTATCGAAGGATTGTGCAGGAAATAAACATATGATTATACAAAAAAAAAGTTTAAAAGTATAATTAAGAAAACAGAGCAAATCATTACAGGTTTTAAATACTTATCAACTTAGAAAATACACCACAGTACGCGTTACTTTCACAAATAAGTTATAATTTCCTACTCAAAACGTGATTTTTCTAAAATTTTATATCACGCAGTGTCTTAAGAAGAGTTTTATAATTATGCGCTTAAGTTTATGTAGGTTTCAAATAATAAAAACTAAGCAGTCTCAAGGACTTTTCCGGTGACTGGGCACTTTGTGGGTTCTTCACAAGCATGACTAGAACTGGGAAGTGACCTGATTATCTTCTCAACTGTTGACGTGGCAGCTGTATGCAAAGAGCGACGAATAAAGAACTGCCTGAGAAAACACGCCTTTTTCTGTCTCTGTTTTTATACATTGCAAAGGCAACAGACTGACAGTTACTAAAAATGTAAAAATATGAACACATTTGCTTGTTGTTTGTTATAGACAAGATTTTCAAAAAATCGTTAACAATAACAGTAGACTTTATATTAGATACGTATTTTGGACTATCTTATCACCTGGAGACAAAAAAAAATTGAGCAGCTATAATTCACTTTTCCCACGCTATAATGATATACTGGGAACCACGTAAAAATTACAGGAAATTAGGTACTTCCACTGTTCTCTTAAGGTTATACGATAGGCCTAGCGTATGGGAAGGCGAACTTGCTGTAAAATGATGCCACAACTGTAGTCGCTTCTAATACACAGGTATTAACTGATGACAGCCAGGTTCTCACGAGAATAAATTTCAAATGTTGTAAAAGTATAACATTTTTGGGACTATTGTTCATCATTTACTGTTGTTAAAGAAAAGTATATAGAGAAAGTTATATAACTGCGTACAACTTATTAGGGATATAAGTAATGTTAATTTAAATAAAATAATAATGGGTTGTAACTTATTTGTTTGTTCGAATTTCGCGCAAAGCTACTCGAGGGCAGAGAGCGCTAGCCGCCCCTAATTTTGAAGTGATAGACAACAGGAAAGGCAGATAGTCAACAAAACAACACCCACTGCCAGTTCTTGAGTTACTCTTAACCAACGAATAATGGAATTAACCGTCACATTATAACGTCAACACGGCTGCAAGAGCGAGCATGTTCGGTGATAAGATTCGAACCCATGATTCGCAAATTGCATGTAGAGTATCCTAACCACCAGGCCATGATAGATCTTTATGAATTATAAGTAAGATAAATGATGTTGTGTTATTAATTCTTACCCTATTCACTTGCTTAATCTGGTGTGTTGTTCATGAATTCTGATGATATATATATATATAGCCTAGACCACTACTATGTCTACTCCCAGCTGACCCGATGAGTCTTGGTATTGGGTGTAATATCTTTTCGGCATTAGACATGGCAGATGTAGTATGGTTGACATATTATAAAATACTAGTAGATGCCCGTTGAAACAATTCAATGGTAATGTTCCTAAAATTAGTGATGAACAAATGTCAAATAAGCAGCAAATTCAATTCTTTGGATCAGAGCGTATATGCAATATGATTGTCTAGTGGGCCGTTTACAACCACCATTTGTCATTTCACGTGCTATTTCAATATGGAAAGTTGCATTGCGTTTGTTTTTAAGCAAAGGATAATGATTTCGAAGCACTGTTGGCATACAAGTTTGGCTTTCGATGCAATGGCTGCATTCAGCACAGTAGAGCGCTCAGGTTCGCTAAGTTGCTTCGGGGATTTTTTTCCGCTGGATGTCGCCGTTCCTTGTTGTTTTATTGAGTGCAAGAAAAGACTGCTACCGAAATGATCATTTCTATAAGGAGTGTCAAAGGGAAGATATTGAATTCAATTCAAGTAAGTTTATTTGACATAGTAGAATAAAATCATGCATGTATATAATACCGACATGAAAAAAAATATATATATATGATACATAAACCAACAACAACAAATATATATTCAAACATATTCCTTTCTTTATACGTTTTTTCCGTTCACGTTCCAATCTTCGAGATATTTCTTTCAATCCGTCGACGGAGGAAGTCTCGTTTTTTTTTTCATGAAATTCCCTCACAAAAAGAAAAATTGTTGTTTTTAATGAGTTTTTTTCTCAGACTGACTGTCCAGGATAGATGTTGACATTAATATGGAACTTGAGGAATTGCAAAAAAATGTATAATTTTCCTGTAATGTAAGAAGCATTTTGATATATATATATATATATATATTCTACGATTAACCGTTTAGGAAATACAGAGCGCGACAGACATTTGGTTGTTGATATATATATAGATTCTTCTTTGCTTTCACTCATGTGTTCTCAGAAAGGAATAATGGTAGAATGTAGTTATAGAAGTATTACATAGTGCTGGCTTTTACCTCAGATCATTGACTACTGTGTGGCTGATTTAGGTTAAGCATAAGTAAGGAATTTTCTTTTATATGTTGAGTCAGTCAGTCACGGTATATTATAGGAGTAATAATATTTTGGAAAAAAAAATGAAGCTCGATTAAAAATTAAGATAAATAATAATTTTACTACAGATTGTGTTTTCCGAAGATCATTTTGTTATCTAAAACAAATCAGTTTTTCGTTGTTTT